CGGGAGTGCGGCGGCGGCGACCGCGACGTGACCCAGCTCACTCGGCATAGCTCGGCCGTCAGCTGACAAGCGGTCGGCTATCGTCGATTCGCTCGCAGTCACAGCCGGTGACCCGTTAGACACAAAATGCACGGCTGTTGGTATTTTCGTTTTACCCTCCTCAGAAAAAGTGATACGAGATTTTATAGGGCTCGCAGTGGAATGTTTATTGATTATTTTGTTTTCAGTACAAATTGGTGACAAGCCCATCGGCCCGCTTTCACACTCAAAACTAGGCAAACATGTAGCACCTCTCGTCATATTTACATTTCTTGAAAAATTGTTCACAATCGATGCGGTCTTAAGCGATTCGATGTCAGACCGAAGTTCTTTTAACTGATCCAATGTTGCACACTCTTTAGAAAAACGGTCCAGATCACTCCTCATTCTAACAATATCTTTCAAAATTCGGGTTACATCGACGTGGTCAAATAGCACGGGAGGTAACTGTTAGAGCGACAAATTGCTAGGAGTTTATATTTGCGTGTAATCTCATTGCTGTTATTCGTATGGTTTGTGGTTGTCAGAATTATTTGAATATACTGACTGACATGCACTTCAAGTTTTGGTTGTTACTTGCTTAGATACGTTGTTTGTACTCATGTGTTCTATTTTGTTTGTAAATATATATTAAGTCAATATTAGCTGGCATTCTTTATTTATTATATATGATCGAGGTTATCTAGTCTTCGATCAGGTTATGGGCCGCATATGATAAATATAAGAAGACTTAAAATATGGCTACACAAGGAAATAGTATGAAGGTAAATTCGAGCAGCGATGGATCGGAGAGATCTCAGCCTTCACACGACACAGGTATGAGCATAGAGAAACTCGATGGAAATTCGAATTATAGTACTTGGAAATTTTTGGTAGAATTATATCTAATTCACGATGATTTATGGGAGTACACACAAACAACGCCAGATAAAACTGATGTAGTAGGCTGTAGGAAAGACCAAAAAGCGAGAGCAAAAATATGCTTGATGGTAAAGCCCCACTGTCTGATTCACGTTCGAAACGCTAAGACAGCTAAAGAAGCGTGGGACGCTTTGAGATCGGCTTTTGAAGATAAGGGTCTTAACAACCGTTGCAGACTTTTGACCAAGTTAGTTAGCCTAAAACTTGAACAATTTACATCAGTTAGGAGTTATGTAACAGAAATAATGTTAGTAGCGCAGCAATTACGGGACATCGGTAAAGAAGTTGACGATGAGATGCTAGCTGCTCTCATGTTACAAGGTTTGACCGAAACTTTTCAACCAATGAGGCTTGCGATTGAAAACTCAGGAGTAGAGTTGACCACAGATTACATAAAAACCAAATTACTTCAAATGGAAGATTCGTATAACACTAGTAGTTCAAGCAGTAATGATATAGCATTGCGTGTTGATACACATAACAAGACTAGGAGATTTCCATACAAGAAGTCACAGAAGATAAAATGCTTTATTTGTAATGGACCACATAAAGCGAGAGATTGTCCAGAGAACTCAAAAAATAAGAAGGCTTCGTTAGCATTGGGACTTGCAACTTCAGGAAAACCAGACGAGTGGATTTTAGATTCTGGGGCATCAAGCCATATGACTAACAGCAAAGAGTATTTAATGGACGTTAGAATGTATGACAAAAAAGTGGAAATCGGATGTGCGAATGGTAGTAAAGTATATGGTATTGGAGAAGGTTCTGTGGTATGTAAGGAGAATGTTGCAGGCGTAAGTGAAGTGATGTATGTACCACACTTAGCAACTAACTTGTTGAGCGTGAGTGCTATTGTAAAGAAGAATGTAGTTGTTGTATTTTCAGCGAAAGGCTATGAACTGTTGAAAGCGGATGGATGTAAGGTTACTGGTGATGTCTTATATACAGGTGTGGAGGATAATGGTGTTTATAAACTTAAGCTCTGTTCACAGGAGAAAGCACTAGCCTCGACTGTCAGTACCATAGACATAGAGTTGTGGCATAGACGTATGGGACATCTTGGTGTACGGAACCTTAAGCTGCTGAGAGACAAATTGGCTACAGGGGTAAGTTTTACTAATAATCCAGTTAACTTACAGTGTAGAGCTTGTTTGATGGGAAAGCAGACCAAACAACCGTTTAAAAAGGGTTTAGCAAACAGAGCTGATGATATTTTAGGTTTGGTTCATACTGATGTATGTGGACCAATGAGTAAAGACTCAATGTCGGGCTGTAAATATTTTCTAACGTTTATTGATGATTTTACAAGAAAAACTTTTGTATATTTTATCAAAAACAAAAGTGAAGTCTTTCAAAAATTTTTAGATTTCAAGACATTTGCTGAGAACCAGTCTGGAAAGAAATTAAAAATTCTTCGATCGGATAATGGCAAGGAGTATGTCAATGAGCAGATGAAGAAATTTTTGAAGCAGTGTGGTATACAACAGCAATTAACGGTTGAGTATACACCCGAGCAGAATGGAGTTGCAGAACGTGCAAACCGCACAATAACAGAAAAAGCTAGAAGTATGCTTCAGGAAGCAGAGCTAGATGAAAAGTTCTGGGCAGAGGCGGTGAACTACGCTGTGTATTTAAAGAATAGATCACCGACCATTGCAGTTAAAGGTAAAACGCCAGAGGAAGCGTGGACTGGAAGGAAGCAAGACTTAAGCATGCTACGAATTTTCGGATGCAAAGCGTTTATTCACGTACCAAAAGTAAAACGGACGAAATGGGACGCTAAATCTAAAGAAATGATTCATGTAGGCATCTGTGAAGAATCGAAAGGCTACCGCTTAATAGACCCAATAACTAATCATTTAAGCAAGGCCAGAGATGTTGTGTTTTTCGAGAACGAGAATATAAACTGTAAGCAAACAGTTGAAAGAGTTGAGAAGTCAGCACCGCTTAGTTTTAAGGATAACGTCACAGAATATGAAGATCACATAGAAGTTCAAGATTTTCAAAGAGATCAAATTGAATCGGAAAATGAACCTGTAAATATTGTAAGTAGTAATGATGATGATATTCTGCATGAGAATTTAGAAACAGAAACAAATGAAGAGAGTTCTGTTACAAGAAGATATCCTTTAAGAGATAGAAAGAAGAAAGCGATACCTGACTGCATTACATATCACACAATAGCTGATTGTGATGATCCGCAGAGTGTGGATGAGGCATTGTCTAGAAGAGACAAACACTTATGGAAAGCTGCGATCGACGAGGAGCTTAATGCACTCAAGAAAAATAAAACATGGAAATTGACGTTACCTCCAGAATCTTGCAACGTCGTTGATTCTAAATGGATATTTAAAATCAAAGAAGAGGCAGGGGGAAATAAGAGATACAAAGCACGCCTAGTTGCAAGAGGTTTCAGCCAGAGGCATGGAATAGATTATTTTGAGACATTTTCTCCAGTTATTAGACATAGCTCTTTGAGGACATTGATTGCATTGGCAGCTCATATGAATCTTAATATAGACCACATGGACGTGAAAACCGCATTCTTGAATGGTAACTTGGATGAGGTGGTTTATATGAAGCAACCAGAGGGTTTCGTTGAAAAGGGAAAGGAGAATTATGTGTGCCAGTTGCAAAGATCATTGTACGGACTTAAACAAGCTCCCAGAGCATGGAATAAAAAACTTCATTTGGAATTGCTGAAACTTAAATTCAAGAGGTCTGAGTATGAACCATGCGTTTATATTAGATCTACAGGAGATAAAGTAATTATTCTTGCCATATATGTAGATGACATTTTATTGTTCTGGAATAATGTTGAGGAATTAAGGAAGGTTAAAACCGATCTCACAAACAAATTTGAGATGAAGGACCTTGGCACAGCGAAGTTGATGTTGGGAATACGAATAGCACAAGATAGTGAAGGGATCAAACTGGATCAGAAGGGATACATAGAGAAGGTTATTCGTACATTTGGAATGGAGAACTGTAAACCAGTTGCTACTCCAGCAGTACCAGGACAAAGGCTAGAGAGGCCACAGCTTGATCAAGAACTTGATGAAAAAGTACCGTATCGCGCATTGATTGGTTCACTGATGTACCTTGCTGTTTGTACGCGCCCTGACATAGCACACACAGTAAGTCAGCTCAGTCAGTTTAACAACAGCTACGGAGACGAGCATTGGATAGCTGCAAAGAGAGTGCTCCGCTATTTGATGGGAACCAAGGATCTAGCATTATTCTATAGAAGGGGAAACCAAAATGAGTTTGTATTAGGTTATGCTGATGCAGATCACGCCGGAGACTTTGATAGAAGATCAAATTCAGGTTGGGTATTTTTATCTCAAGGAGGAGCTATTTCTTGGGAGAGCAAGAAACAACGTACAGTGGCAATATCGTCTGCAGAAGCTGAGTATGTAGCGTTATCAGAGGCTGCAAAAGAGGCAATTTTCATTCGCAGGTTTATTGCAGAATTAAGAGATGGACCCAATCCCGCAATCTCAATTTTCACTGATAGTCAGTCGGCTATGGCAATTGCTAAGAATCCTGTACATCACCAGCGTACGAAGCATGTGGATGTAAGATATCACTTTGTACGTGAGGCGATTGAGAATGGTGACATTCATTTGAGGTACAAGGAAACTAATAGAATGACAGCTGATGTTTTGACAAAGTGTTTGTTGAGAGGTAAATTTGAATGGTGTGTGAAAAGCATGGGTTTGAGTTGTGTGTGAATAAGATGGCTGTTTATATGGTAGGTACACTAACAGGCATGAGATTAAGGAGGAGTGTTAGAGCGACAAATTGCTAGGAGTTTATATTTGCGTGTAATCTCATTGCTGTTATTCGTATGGTTTGTGGTTGTCAGAATTATTTGAATATACTGACTGACATGCACTTCAAGTTTTGGTTGTTACTTGCTTAGATACGTTGTTTGTACTCATGTGTTCTATTTTGTTTGTAAATATATATTAAGTCAATATTAGCTGGCATTCTTTATTTATTATATATGATCGAGGTTATCTAGTCCTCGATCAGTAACTTCTGCAGATCTCGCGCCACAAACACCGGAATTTCTTCAGGGTCCGTCTCCTTCAATAAGCAGACAATGTCATCAATATCTCGCTGCGTTTTTCCAAGACGTTTTCTTATCTTTTTGCGCTTCGAGGTCGTTATGGATTCAAATAGCAAGTTTTTGGCATCCAATATTTCACTCTCCGAAAAAGCACTAACACATATTTGGGTGATACCCGGTTCGTCCATCACATCTATTTTATTACAAATGAAAGCTAAAACTTCATTTATCACCAAATTGCAACTTGTACATTTCACGACATTAGAAGCCATTGTTTATAGCAACGACTCACGCACACACGACCGGACGTCAGCGCAAGCGCCGGGCGATTATGTGTGTATTAATGTGATATATATGTATATACTGTATGACACGTTATCAATTAATTTCATTTTAAATTTAATGTATTATATATGAATGTTATGTTATGTTTTCATTATTATGTTTTTGACACTGTGTTGTGTCTTGGATATTTTCTGTAAGTATAAAAAGTACATTATTTTACATGATGTTTATTCAAATAAAGAATCCAAAAATATAAACAATAGTAAATTTATTATAACAAAATAATAAATGAATATTACCTATAATCTGAGCCAATACTGACCAGCTCTTATCCTAGTATAATCAGGCAAACACTCTGTAGGACCAACGGCAGCTACAGCAGGGCATCTGTCATATATCCATTTCTCCATAGCAGCTTTGATGTTTAAATAGTTTATTCCTTTCAGATTAAAATAAATGTCGTTAATGCCTTGTCGGCCGCACGAATACATTGTTTGGAAACCGAGGTCGTAGCACGAACGAAAGGCACCGTCGAACTTTCGAGCCATTTCTAGCTTCAGCGCGTTCACTGCTCGCTCTCCATCATGATACTGGATTGAGACGCACATTTCCATCCATGCATTTTGCACATTATACAGCATGTCATCGACGTCCATTTTCTTCGACACAAAATAGATACCCCATAAACCTACGTCACGATATGGAATATAGAATGCCTCATAAAATTCACAAAGATCATCAACTGAACCAGCTCTCGCTAAAGGCAAAGCATTATTGTCTTTTCCACCCTGACCCTTACTCCAACTTCCAATCATAGTCTTAGCAGCCATCAACGCTAGGTAATCGGAACTACCGTAGCCAGGAGCTTCGAGAGCAACCGCAACATGAGCATAGGGCATAGAGTCATCCCTAAATACTACCTGAGAACCTGTAAAACGACACGGGCCTTCTTCTGACGTGCAACAAGGGTCTCCAACCATATGGCCAAACTTAGCTTTGGCGTAACTTACCATACTATCGTGGTCAACATTGCCTACACTGACAAGCGCCAATTTGTACGGTTGATAATGATCCGACATAAAAGAAGTAAGTAAACATTTATCAAATCGTGAAATATTGGCAGTAGGTCCAATTACGCGTTGCGCCAGTGGGGTGCCTTGAAATGCACTTTGGTGTAGGTAATCAAACAGAACTTGTTTAGGATCATTCTCTGCGTCGATTATCTCTTGTTCCATGTTGCGTTTTTCATTCTCAATTTCACATTCCGAAAGTTCCAAATCTGTGATTATGCTACCTAAATAACCCACAACATCATGTACGGCTTCTGGAATACATTTAGCTGAGAATGTTTGTATTTCTCTAGAAGTTTTTGAGGACATTTTTGCACCCATGCCTCGTAGATATTCGTTGAGTTTGCTTTTCGTCATGCCTTTAAATCCTTTGAACGACATGCGTTCCATAAAGTGTGTGATGCCATTGTTACAAGTGGTTTCAAATCGCGGACCAGCTTCAATAAACAGAGATATACATGCCATCGATGAGCTCGATGCTTCAGTAGCCACGCGAACTCCATTATCAAGTATTGAAAGTTGAGTATCTTTTGGTGTTTCTGAGGGTGTACAAGGACAAGTACAATATTTCCTGCTCAGTTGTAATCGATTGAGTATATTCAAAATCGGATTTCGTGACATTTTCCAAGTCAAATAATTTTTATTCGCAAAAACTAAACTGACTTTTTGACAAATGATGTCATAAAGAAATAAATAAAAACAGAGTGATGTTATAATCTCAGAATATATTTCTAAAAATTAAAAAATGGAATTAAATTATGCAAAATGACGTACCTACCATTTTGCTATGTAAAAATAAATCCATATCAATTTATGTTCTTGCGATATTTACTCGAAAGGCCATCAACCTCAAAGTAGTGATTATTTATGAGACTGGCCGCATCGGCCGTGTTGCTCTATGTTATGAGAGTTAAAATACACCAAAGAGAAGCGAGGCAAATGGGATTCATCAAGCGCTGCCGTCCAATAATAGATCATGGACAATACCAACAGACAACAACGGACACCACAGCGACAGCGCGCGTTCATGTAGCTCTATGAATCCGGCCTACAGTTTGTCTATAAAGTCGTGACATGAATGTTTGAGGAACTAACATTATTCATGTGTCTGGCAACACCAAACTTATGTACATCAGCTGTCATCGAGTTTCAGTTGTGGAACAGTTTTCCTTTTGTTTTTTTTTATTGTTTGGATTGAACTGTAATAAATTAAGACGAAACTACGCAGAAAGGTATAAAAATGAGTAAAGTAAATCGGAGTGGCACGCGGGAAGTGATTTTTAAAGTTTTCCAGCGATGTTTCGAAGACTACCAAGCTGGACGAATTTTGTGGGATTTGGATGATGTTTATGGGCGAACAGCATCTATGACGGGTATGTAATCGTGTAACTATCTGTTTGTAATCTGCCTGAAGTTACAAATTTACTCAATTTACGATTTTGAGACCAAAAAAGGCATTGTTTACATTGCACATTTTTAGGTTAGATTGACATTATAAATAGGTAATATTGTAGTACGACCATTTCTTTTGATACGTTATTATGGTTTAACTCGGTCAGGTTTTCTACCAATTTTGAATTAATTGCTTCATGTCAATAAGTTATTGTTTCTATTCCCTTACATATTTTTTTACTTTTTTTTTCAGGAAAATCAGAGAGTCGGGTAGTCAACGAAGGTTTTAAGAATGATGGAAAGTTTGAAACTCCTGGGAAAACAGGCAAGGCCGACCAAATAAAGAAATGGTCACATAAAGAACCATGGCCAGATGCTTTTAGTGAAGATACCTATCACTAATTTTACTAACTGCACATTTACAAATTGTTTCTCTAAATAAACTTTTTATATACTATAAAATGATTTTTAGTATTATTTTCTTAACAAGTGTGTTAAAAAACGTCGTATGATGATACTTGTGTGTATTGATGATTACCTAACGGCTCTGGTCTCAATGGCACCTCAGCTGTAATCACCAACATTACACACTTTTACACTATAAAGTAAATAGCAGGTAGCTATATAAAAAACAGAAACAAAATACGACTGTATAGTATGTCTTATTAATTACCTATTTTACTTGAATAAACTGCTAGTATCAAAATCATTTTGGTCAGACTGTACAGGGTTGCTACATGCATACTAGTGGCGCCATCATTTAATGTCACGACTTTATAGACAAACTGTACCAAAGGTACAAAATTTGTTAAATTAGAGCATTTTCGTTTTAATGGATAAACATGAAACATATCTGCTCAGTCGTAATTTTTTTACTACTTTGGTTAATCTTAATCAGTAATGATATTAATAGAATTACAACACTTTCTTGTTGAGAGTTCTCAAGTTATAATAAAATATTGTACATGTTTTATGCTGAGAACGCTCATTTGGCGTGCGCCCAAAACGCAGCTCATGTAACTTAAAAAAACTTAGTCCATTGTAACTTAAAAAGAACAATAAATACTCATGTTTCCTTTGGAATATAGAGATTAGATGCTCTTTGTTTACTTGTTTATTGCCAAAAATAATTATTGCTGTTGCAAATCAAAAATCTGCAAAAGAAGGGCAGAGGAAAATTTAATCATGTATTACATAAATAAAGTGTTAAAAAATATTAGCCACCCACTTAAACATATTGTACGCCACAAGCCGTATCCTGTTGTATTTCACAACTACCTTAAAAATTTACCCTTTACCGAGGTTTCAGTGCTTCCTAATGGGCTAACTGTCGCAACGGAAGAAAGAGAATGCTACAATGCTTGCGTTGGCTTGTACATCAACGCCGGATCTAGATACGAAAGTCATTTTGAGAACGGTATAACGCATTTTTTCGAACACATCGCATTCAAAGGTACTAATGCTCGTGCAAAAACTGTACTGGAAGAACAAATGTCATCTTTGGGAGCTCAGTTCCATTGCTCTACCAGCAGAGAAATTGCCACGTACTATGCCGAATGCCTCTGTGAAGATGTTTCCCTCGTGGTAGATATATTAACCGATTGCGTATTCAATAATTTGTATTGCCCGGCCGATATCGACCAACAAAAATGTACTGTATATTTAGAAATGCTAGAACATGATAAGGATCACAATTTACTTCTCTCTGATTATCTCCACAGCACTGCTTTCCAAGGCACACCTTTAGCTCAATCAGTATTAGGGCCAAGCAGTAATCTTTATAATTTCTCCACTAGCACAATCAGCATATACGTCCGTAAACTATTTGACCCTAAAAGAACCGTACTCATCGGCGTCGGTGGAATAAAACATTCACAATTGGTAGGTTTGGCCGAGTCTTATTTGAGTAAACTTGAACCAACAAAATGTATCGATACGGGAGAGTACAGGTTTACGGGATCTGAAGTAAGATATAGGGACGATTCGATGCCTTTGGGCAATGTAGCAATAGCTGTAGAAGGACCAGGCTTATGCGACCCTGACAACTTGGTTTTGGATGTAGCAGCGCACTTGATCGGAGGCTGGGATAGATCGCAACCCGGAGGTGAGAAACATGCCTCGCCTATAGTTCGGGGATGTTCGTCCGAACACCTTTGCGATTCTTATAAAGCCTTTAACATTAACTATAAAGATACCGGACTTTGGGGAGCGCAATTTATGGGACCTTCTAAATACTTGGACGACGTTCTATACTTGATTCAGGGAGAGTGGATGAAGCTGTGCACTACATTAACTGATGCAGAGGTCGAGAGGGCGAAGAGGGAACTTAAGACTGATATATTGTACAAAACCGAGAGTTGCAAAGGAGCATTTCACGAAATCGGTCGCTGGGTTCTTTACGGCGGATGTTATCCTACATTGCATGAGCGCCTTACGAGTATTGACAAAATATTCGCAAAACACGTGATAGAGGTTTGCAACAAATACATTTACGACAAATGCCCTGCGGTGGCAGCAATCGGCACAACAGAAGGTCTCTTGGACTACACAAGAATACGTGCCGGCATGTATTGGCTGAGGATTTAATATTTTTATTAAATTTATAAATATTTTAGTTTTACTTAATTAAAAGTTTATTATTTACTTCAGTCTGAAATTAAAGTCGAAGATCGAATTCTTTCTTATTAATTTTTCCTACATTCATCTGTGTAAGTAAAAATGCGGTTCTTTATGCATCCAATCTGTAATTACTGACAGGTAAACATGGTTCAAACTACTTTGCATAAATCAGTTATTTCTTGGATATAAAATGTCCAGAAATCGACTCCGTTATATTTTCTCAAAAAGTTTTAAGCCTCTTACCATCAGACGGACCATGCGCTTATTTGCCACCAACATAAAAAAACCTTCGATTCCTGTTGCATTTTTAATCCCAGTGTGTACTGGGTAGTACAGTCAGCTTCATAGATCATATTGTTGATGACTGATCAAAATTATCTAAGGTATCTATACAAATTCAATTTTAAACACGCTGTTAGATTTATTTAAGAGTGGTCAATATTATCTAAACAACACAATTCTAATAATATATTGTTTTAAACTTTTATGGTCACTAACATTATAGTAATATAATTTATTTACGAAATCGTTACCATGTACCTTGTTTTTTTTTCAATCGTGAGGACGGGTTTAAATTGTTGAGTCTCTGGAATCCTGTGGTTCGTATGTGTAAAACCGGAACTGATGACTGAAAAGTGTTGTGTGTCGAGAACAGTTTCGAGTGAATAGTAAGAATGTGAACAGTGGTACGGGTATCCAACTGTTATAAATAAGATATGTATGTAATATTGCAGATAGGGCTGCCAGACAGCTGACTAAGCAATATGGTCTCACGTCCGCGTCCAAGCCATCTTGGTTAGACAGTCGCATCACAGCCCTACTCGCGAGCGGTCATTTCTAACTGAATAAATAGTGTGTGAAAATAAAATCTCTTTTTTAAAAAGACATCCGAAGGGTCCCTTATAACATTGGTGGCAGCGTAAAGGGATTTAAGAATAGATCCCCGGTACGTCTTCGTAGTTCGACTCGCGAGTGAAAACCTGTGTAATCATAAAATCCAGAAACTTTTCCGGTGCGACTCATACATTTTCAAAATCCGTATTATATACGTATATTTCCAATCGATTCCAGAAAGTTAAAAACCAGTTCCAGTTAAGATCCAGTTCCAGTTACGTAATACGTTAATAATACACTACATAAATACATCTTTATAAACTTTTACTACTTGTGTGTGTGTCCGTGTTGTTCCTGAGCCGTTGAAGATGATCGCCGTGTTATTCTCCGTACTGTGAATTAATTCAATCCTACAAGTGTTGTTGTGCAAAAGTCCCAGTGATATTTAATTCGACGAATTCAATCGCATTCCTGAACGCCGAGACTGTCTTATCATTGTTTAGACTGGACTTCCCGTCCGATTCAATTCATTCGATGCCCAAAGAAGAAGTGCCAAGCATAAGCAAAATAACCATGTCAGACATCGACCTTAATATTCTTATTAAATTTATTAACCGATTTGACGGAAATCGTGAAAAATTGAATGCTTTTCTAAATAATTGCAAAAATGCCATAAATTTAGCGTCTTCGTCACAACAAGATATACTTTTAAAATATATTTTAAGCCAGCTAGAAGGGCATGCTGAAGCCGCGTGTTCGATAAAAGAATTTGAAAATTGGCAACAATTAGAGGATTTCCTAAAATCACAATACGGTGAAAGAAAACACTATGCTGCCCTACTATCTGACTTGCAAGAATGTAAACAATTGAATCACGAAACAGTCAACCAGTTCGCGCTTCGTATAGAATCTTGCTTATCAAAGTTACTTACAGAAATAAATATATCTATTCCTACCAAAAAGAAAGGCGAACTGGCAGGCCGTGTCGCTGCAATGCAAGACTTGGCGCTGCATACCTTTGTAATAGGTTTGCAACCTCGTCTTTCTACCATTATCCGATGTCGCGATCCTGAAACCCTCAATGAAGCCATAAATTTCGCAGTATCAGAGGAAAAACTATTATTGACGACTTCGAGACGACAGCCTATCAGTTTTAATAATGCAGGTAATTTACCATTTCAAGGACGGCCTCGTCAACCACAAAATCGTGGCAGCCCTAATACGAATGTCGCTAGCCAGTCTTTCAATACCCCTACCACTGGATATAATAATTTAGTGTGCCGATACTGCAAAATTCCGGGTCATGCTATTGACGTGTGTCGTAAGAGAGAATATAATAACCGACGCTTCTCTAGAAGTAATCAGTTTTTCCGTCCAAATTCTAACACTAACACACCTTTCAGAGGTAATCAACCGATTCATGCTGTGACTTCATACGAGACTGAGGGTATTGACGAAATAGACAACAATCATTTAAACTAAATGATTTTCCCGCCGGGTGCCGTACGGGAAAACGGAACACCAAAACCGGCATCATTTCTAATTCACTGCACTTAACTAATTCACAACAAACAAACACCACTAACAAACAGGGTAACCAGCCCCGAACTCATAGTGGAATTCATACCATTTCCAATACCACTAACAAACAGGGTAACCAGCCCCAAACTCATAGTGGAATCCATACCATTTCCAACACCACTAACAAACAGGGTAACCAGCCCCAAACTCATAGTGGAATTCATAACATTTCCAACACCGCTAACAAACAGGGTAACCAGCCCCAAACTCATAGTGGAATTCATAACATTTCCAACACCGCTAACAAACAGGGTAACCAGCCCCAATTTCATAGTGGTAACAAAAGTTATTCCCAAAATTTACTTACCAACCCGAAAGCAACTGTTTCAACATCTCCAGCGCCCAATCCTCGAGCCTATAAAGATGAACCTCGACCAATACTTACCAATAATTACTTGGATTCTAGTACTCCTGCGACAAATCGTGACACTGCCCCTGCATCTGAAAAAGAAATTAATAATGTTAAAATATACAACATAACCACCAACCCTTCAAAAAAATACTTACCTTTTATCGAAGTCCAAACATCCGTCTCGGAGAAACCATTATCATTCCTTGTTGACACTGGCGCAGCTATAAGCTTAATGAAAGAATGCTCCATAGAAAAAATGCCTAGGAAAATAACTGGAGAATTCGTGACTTTCACTGGACTTGGTAACGAAGCCAACCCTATGATATCATTGGGTCACGTCCCAGTTACCTTTCAATCACACAGTCATCAATTTCACCTTATAGGTCACTTAAACTTCCCATACGATGGAATAATCGGAAATGATTTTCTGGCAAAATCTTCTAGTAAAATAGACTTTGCCAATGACCAGTTAATAATAAATGATACCATAATTCCCCTTAAATTCACCGAACCTATCTACGTTATCGCACCTCGATCTGAAACTATAATTGAATGTTCTGTTCAAAACCCAGAGATAAAAGAAGGACTTATCGTAGATCAACATCCTATCGAATCACTACTCATAGCTAATTGTATAGTCAAAGTAAAGTCTAATTCAAGAATCAACATTTCCGTATTAAACACATCTGAATCACCTCTGACGGTTAGTTCCGACATGAAACTTAATATGATACCCCTACAAGAAAACAATAGTTTCAAGATTTTTCACACTTCACGAATCAATGATAACTCCGTGAATGTCCTAGACCGAACTAACCAAGTCATAGATCTCTTGAGAGTGTCCCATCTAAATCACGAAGAAAGAGACTCTTTATATAACCTGTGTGCCGACTTCTCAGACATCTTTCATTTACCGGAAGATAAGTTAACACATACTGATGCTATACAACACGAAATACCCACTACTTCTTCAAATCCTATTAACGCGAAATCATATCGATTCCCAGAAATACATAAACAAGAAGTCGAGACCCAAATGAACAAAATGTTAAACGAGGGTATCATCAAACCCTCTACATCCCCTTGGTCTTCACCCATATGGGTTGTACCGAAGAAACAGGACGCCTCAGGGCTTCGTAAATGGCGTGTAGTAATTGACTACCGTCGTCTGAATGATATAAGCATCGGTGACTCGTATCCAATCCCCAACATTAGCGAAATTCTAGACCAACTAGGCAAGTGTAAATACTTCAGTACCCTTGATCGTGCATCTGGCTTCCATCAGATTAAGATGTCTGAACGTGACGCTCCCAAAACTGCCTTTTCCGTCCCACAAGGACACTTCGAATTCACCCGCATGCCATTTGGCTTAAAGAATGCCCCTTCAACCTTTCAAAGACTAATGAACTCCGCTCTGTCAGGGCTTCAGGGTATGCAATGCTTTGTGTATCTTGATGATATTGTAATTTATTCTTTTGATCTAACTACTCACATAAAATCACTCTCCAATGTCTTTGACAGGCTCAGACATTTCAATCTCAAGCTTCAACCTGACAAGTGTGAATTTCTCCGCAAGGAGGCATCCTACCTTGGACATATCATGAGTGATCAAGGCGTGAAGCCAAATCCTGACAAAATCAAAGCCGTCCAGCAATTTCCCCAACCTAAATGTCCAAAGGATATAAAATCTTTCATGGGACTAGTCTCTTACTATCGTCGCTTCATACCAGACTTATCTAAAATAGCTAAACCCTTAACTAACCTTCTAAAAAAGGATATTCCATTCAACTGGAAAAATGAACACCAGTTAGCATTCGAGCAGCTAAAACAACGTCTTACTTCTGCACCCCTTTTAATATACCCTGACTTTTCCAAACCCTTTTTGTTAACTTGCGATGCTTCTAACTATGCCATTTCTGCCATTCTCTCACAAGGCCCTATTGGAAACGACAAACCTATCGCATACGCATCGAGAACACTAAACAAAGCCGAATGTAACTACAGCACGACCGAAAAGGAATGTCTTGCCATCCTTTTTGGTACTAAAACCTTCCGGCCGTATCTCTACGGTCGCCAATTTAAAATAGTCACGGATCATCGACCTCTCAAATGGCTGTTCAACCATAAAGACCCTGGATCCAAACTCATTAGATGGAGACTCAAACTCGAAGAGTTTGACTACGAGGTCGAATATAAAAAGGGAAAGGTCAACAGTAATGCTGACGCCTTATCATGGTATCCTGTTAACCCTGTCCTTCCCAAAGAACCCAATCTTTTACAATCAGATA